CTAGAGAACAAGCCCTATGTGGAGCGGCTTAAAGAGTTGAGCATGTTTACCCTGCAGAAGAGAAGGCTGAGAGGAGACATGATAGCCATGGATAAATATGAGGGGTATTTTTTAAGTAAGGTCCGTTTTGTTGTAGACACTAGTAGTTTGTGCGCACACCGCAATGAGTGTGTGCGTCGTGTACCGGCATGTCTCAGGAACAACTGTGCTCAGTTGGCAACAACCTGTACGGTTCTGTTCTGTGCTTTAAAAATGTTTAAGACTAACTCACCCTCCGCATGTGAGGTTCGCTCAGTGATACGGTTTTTGTCAGCAAGGAACCTGCCTGCTGCAGAAATTCATCGACAGATTTGTGAAGTGTACAGTGATACTGTTATGAGTGAAAGCAAAGTGCGTAAGTGGGTACGACAATTCAAAGATGGGCCGTGACAACGTCCATGATGAGGACCGCTCCGGTCGCCCTTCTTTGATTACAGACGATTTGGTTATTGGAGCAGACGGAAAGTTTTTATGAAGAGGGTATTTTAAAATTGGTTCAGAGGTATGATAAGTGTTTGAACAAACTTGGCAACTATGTTGAAAAATAGAGTGCAGTACTTACTTTCTGAAAATAAATTTACTTTTTTGAAATAAACTTTGGTTGTGTACTTATGTTCAAATGGACCTTACTTAAAAAATACCCCTCGTATATGAGGGGAAGTCATAGGGAGGAGGGAAGAAGTTTGTTTTCTGCTGCCCAGGCATCAATGATTTCAAACTACAGGAAAGGAGATTCCGCCTGGACATTAGGAATAACTTCCTAAGTGTGAGAGCTATTCAGCAATGTAATTTTCTGCCTCAGAGTGTGGTGGAGGCTCCTTCTTTGGAGGCTTTTAAATAGAGGCTGGATGGCCATCTGTCAGGGATGCTTTGATTTTCCTGCTTCTTGGCAGGGGGTTGGACTAGATGGCCCACAAGATCTCTTCCAACTCGATTCTATTGAGTCTATGATTCTAATACAACAAAGATGAGCAAGAATGAGAAAACATCTCAGATTTCCATGGTGTTTCCCCCACCAGCGCCCTTATTCTGTTTGAGTTCTATATTGCATTATGAGAAATACTCTTTCTTCTCATACAGAATTTAGTACACACTTCTCTTAAACATTTTCCTCTATTTTTCCCTACCAATGTGTCTCTGCACTTTTTTCCAATAAAGGCAGTCCCCATGTTATGGACAAGATAGGTTCTGAAGGTTTGTTTTTAAGTTGAATTTATATGTACATTGGAACTGGTGCACTTTTAAGTGTAACTCCAGCCAAATAATTATACATATTTAGTTTTGGATAGCATAGGGAAGAATGAACATGCCTGCGCTATTTCCTTTGCTGCCTGTGCCCCTGTTTAGAAGATTTCACCTCACTTTCTGTCTCTGCAATAATTGCATTTTGAAAAAATTGACTTGTTATGGAAACAAGGTTTGGTAATAAAGCTTCAGTGGAGACACCATTTCCCCATGATAATAACTTCCAGGAGTGAATTTCCCTTCCTAAGGGTAGATCTCTATTACTTCCTGTTGTCTCACCCTGTTCTTAACTATGAACTGTTTGTAAGTTGGATGTTTGTAACTTGGGTACTGCCTGTATATGGTTACCTCACTGTGTGCTGACATATCTTTGACATAGCCAAAGAAAACATATATACGAAGATGGGTCAAAAAGTTTTGCCTCCTGTGTCATTAAAATATTATGAATGAACATATAACAGCAGAAGTTGCTACAGATCATAGCCGGAACTATCCTCTACACAAAACTTCCATTCAACATAGTTAAAGGCAAAGGTTGTCCCCTGACATGAAGTCCAGTTGTGTCCGACTCTGGGGTGTGGTGCTCATCTCTATTTCTAAGCCAAAGAGTCGGCGTTGTCCGTAGACATCTCCAAGGTCATGTGTCCAACATGACTGCATGGAGCACCCTTACCTTCCCACCGGAGCGGTACCTATTGATCAATTCATATTTGCATGTTTTCAAACTGCTAGGTTGGCAGAAGCTGGGGCTGACAGCAGAAGCTCACGCCGCTCCACAGATTCAAACCTGCGACCTTTCGGTCAACAAGCTCAGCAACTCAACGCTTTAATCCACTGCACCACTGGGTTAACATAGTCACCATCAATTTGTACACATTTGTGCTATCTTTTAACCCAGGCATCAAAACCATTTTGGAAAAATTCATGGATTTGTTTCATGACCCATGATTTTAAAGCTATTTTAACATCACTCAAGTCATTGAATCTGAAACCACGTAGGTTGTCTTTCAGAGGTTCAAAAAGACAAAAAGAGTTATAAAGTTGTTAATTATATGTATTATTTATTTATTTACCAGATTTTTATCCCGCCCTTTTCAGCCCAAAGGCGACTCAGGGCGGTGTACAAACTGGCAACAATTAGATGCCAAACGCACATAAATACATCGTTTAAAACAGGTTAAATCACATAATAAAATTCATATAAAAACAATTAAAAACTATAAAAATCAATGACTTCTGGGTTTAAATCCATGTCCATTTGCATCGTTAAGCCGTTCCATATTTGTTCACAATGCTGATTTTATCTGGTTACAATGAGGTTCCAAAAACTTGCTCGAAGAGCCAGGTTTTACTCTTTCCCTAAAGGTCAGGAGGGAAGGGGGGCGAGCTAATATCCCCAGGAAGGGAGTTCCACAGCCGAGGGGCCACCACTAAGAAGGCCCTGTCCCTCGTTTCCGCCAAGCGTGCCTGTGAGGCAAGCGGGACTGAGAGCAAGGCCTCCCCAGATGATCTTAAATTCCTGGAAGGTTCGTAAGGGGAGACACGTTCGGATAGGAAAGTTGGGCCAGAACCATCAGGGCTTTATAGGCTAAAGCCAGCACTTTGAATTGTGTCCAGTAGCAAATTGGGAGCCAGTGGAGCTGACGCAACAGAGGAGCTGTATGCTTTTAGGACCTTTTGCAAATTTCACTACCATAAGTCAAAATCATTCTCATTACATAAAGCAGCAATTCACTCGTAATCTATTTGGATCCTCGATTCATCCTTGATTTTACTTCTTCTCCTCTTGCAGCTTTTGAGAGAGAAACAAAGCCATTCCCTGACCACACATTATGGCCAGACTATCCTCTTTCTGTCCCAAGTCACCTCACAGGGCATCAACAGAAAAAGAGTCTCGAGTTTATTGTTGCTCAGGCCTCTTCTTTCTAAGTTGTCCAGCGACTTATAAGTTTTCTAAAGTTGTGGCCTACTTATATCCTAGGCAGAAGTGTCCATTCCATTCCATCCTTCTTCCCCATTGGTACAAATTGCATAAAATTCTTTTTCACCCCAGAGAGATTTAATTAAATGTGTTAATTCCTCAACCTCCTGCTGTAATTTGTCAAGTAGCTCTGTTTTAAGCCTTGCAGACCCTAAAGTCAGACCCAGGGTATCCAGGTAGCCTGAAATGCTCCAGTGCTTCATTTTTATGCTTCCATCTTGCTGTCTTTATGTTTCACAAAGTGACTGGCCCACTTGGCCTCTGCAAATGTCCTACTGGGATGTATGTAAAGATCCCTTTGCATACTGATACAGACATCGATGTCTTTGAATATTACAAGAAAGTGTTAGCATATATGAGAATCTTACACATATAGGACAGAATGCATTTTATATTGCAACTCACCTGTGGCTCTCCTGGTGATACGTAATTTGATTCCAGATTCTTGGTTCCAATCCAGCAAGTGGGGTGAGCTCTCGCTGTTAGCCCCAGCTTCTGCTGATCTAGCAGTTCGAAAACATGCAAATGTGAGAATAATTGGTACCGCTTCAGCAGGAAGGTAACAGCACTCCATGCAGTCATGCTGGCCATATGACTTGGAGGAGTCTACGAACAACGCCAGCTCTTCGGCTTAGAAGTAAAGATGAGCACCACCCCCCAGAGTCAGACACAACAGGACTTACTGTCAAGAGCAGAGGTCCTCAAACTAAGGCCCAGGGGCTGGATACGACCCTCCAAGGTCATTTACCTGACCCTCGCTCAGAATCAACCTAAGTCTGAAATGACTTGAAAGCACATAACAACAACAATCCTATCTCATCATCCAAAAGCAGGCCCACGCTTCCTACTGAAATACTAATAAGTTTATATTGTTAAAATTGTTCTTCATTTTAATTATTATATTGTTTTAAAGTGTTTTTTGCACTACAAATAAGATATGTGAGGTGTGCATAGGAATTCATTCATTTTTTTTTCAAATTATAATCCGGCCCTCCAACAGTTTGAGGGACAGTGACCTGGCCCTCTGTTTAAAAAGTTTGAGGACCCTTGGTCAAGAGGAAACCTTTACCTTTACCTAGAAGTGCAGGATGCCTGCAAAATATCCCAAATATCTAAACCCTCCTCTCCACATATTTAACACAGAAAAAACACACTACCATTCTGTAACTTCCAATAATTTAGCTTTTTGTCCATCTCTATTATGACAGGGCCAAAGAAAAAATGCCAGGCTTGCAATGCACGGCAATGTGATTTATGATAGCCCTGTCAAATTGAGCATCCAACCCTGAACTTTAGTTTTCATAAGAATATATGTGTGTATATACACATACATACACAGATTAGAGTTGTGTCTCACACAGTTAAGACATTACATTCTTCCAAGTGTGTGCATGCAGATATGGGAGTGACTCATAGAAGAAAGAGGGACAAAGTGAGGTTCATTCCAGAATGAACACTCCCTCAACACTTTTAAAAAGCAGACAACAATATTTTGGTGACTAAGAAAAATGATCTGTTACCATTTTGTCCTCTAAGAAAAACCCAGCCAAGTGACTTCTCAGAGGAACTCATTAGCATCCCTCACCTGTGTTAGGAAGGAGCAGAAGACAACAAATAAGCCCTCTGGGATCCATTAAATTAAATCTACTAAATACAGAAGGTACTACAACAAACTGCACATGCTAGGTTTCTCTGTAAAAAGCAAAGAGGAAAACAGAGGCTGGCCAGAGTCAAATTAGTCATTTTGAAAACTTTTGAATTTACTGAATAAACTGCTACAGCAAAAGGGGAAACCATAACTACCAACTGTTACACTGACATGGTATCAATACACTTTACCTTAGCAAATGTATCTTTGTAGAAAACAGTTTTCCAGGGAGGATGAATTCAGTGGAAATACAATGGGAAAAGCAGTCTTAGAACCCATATTCCCATATTTTATTAAGCCGATTTAGCAACGTGTTGTATCCTGCAAAAATCAGGATATCACATAACAAGTACAATCAACCCAATTTTAAAAAGGTTTTTAAAATAGTAGCAAATTTGATTGGATCACAGATAATCTTGTCCCATTTGTTACAAAAAAAGTCTGTTTCCAAGGCCAGAGCATTGCAAAGTGGTTTGGGGGACTGTTCACCGTCTCATGAAATGGCTCTCATGGGTTTGGCATAGACAGGTTGCAAGACGTGGTGGATCAAAACTAAGAACAGACATCCAAGGAAAATCATACTCAAGATGGCGAGTAGGACGAAACGGCCAAGGAAGAACGTGTCTACAATCTGAACAAAAGATAAAGTTTGCAGATTACTCACACAGTAGGATATCTCCATAATGCCAGTCTTAACCAGCAAACAAAGTGACGCTTATTTTCATATCACCCACACTCCACCCACTGAAACCATTGGCAGAGGACCTCTTCCAGGTGCCATTGCCAAAGTGATCACTTTGAACAGTGGTTCTCAAACTTCCTAATGCCTTCACTACAGTTCCTCATGTTGTGGTGACCCCCAACCATACTGTAAGGGTTTGTAGTTCACCTACATCCAGAGAGCACTGTGGACTCAAATAATGATGGATCTAGACCAAACTTGGCATGAATACTCAATATGCCCAAATGTGAACACTGGTGGATTTTGGGGAAAACAGAACTTGACATTTGGGAGGTGTCGTTGCTGGGATTTATAGTTCACCTAGAAACAAAGAACATTCTGAATCCCACCAACAATAGAATTGGGCCAAACTTCCCACACAGAACCCCCATGACCAACAGAAAGTCCTGTGTTTTCTGATGGTCTCTGGCGACCCCACTAACACCCAACTCACAACCCTCCCCAGGAGTCCCTATCCCCAGGTTGAGAAAACCTGACTTAGAATCATAGAGTTGGAAGAGACCCTAAGGGCCATCCAGTGCAGCTCTTGCCATGCAGGAACACAAAATCAAAGCACTCCCAACAGATGGCTTTTCACAACAGATGGCTTTTTCAAACCGCATTGAGTCGCCTAATTAGGCTGAAAAATGCGGTATAGAAATAAAGCAAATAAATAAATAAATAAATAACAACCATTAAAAGACATAATTTGACAATACATTTGCTTGTCACCAAGGCTGTGTTCAACATGGCAAAACTTTAGGCTCTGCCAAGAGGATGCCTTGCCAAATTAAATAAATTTTACTCACCCACAATAGTATATTTCATTCTTGGAAGGAATATATAAATATATATATCAAAATCTTGGAAGTTTCCTGCCATGCTTATAATGGCTTGACTTTTACAAAAGCCTTGGGTCTGGTATGCATCTTGGATGGATGCATGTTGGCTGCCCTGGCCTGTAATTACTCTGTCTGCACAGCCATCACTGAACTACCAAAGATATGTAGGGATGCATGTGAAGGGAAGTCATAGGGAGGAGGGAGCAAGCTTGTTTTCCGATGCCCTGGAAACTATGATGAGGAACAATGACCTCAAACTACAGGAAAGGAGACTCCATCTGAACATTAGGAAGAACTCCCTGGCTGTGGAAACTGTTCAGCAGTGGAACTCTCTGCCCCAGAGCGTAGTAGAGGCTCCTTCTTTGGAGGCTTTTAAAACAGCGTTTCTCAACCTGGGGGTTGGGACACCAGTTGGGGTCGCAACGGGGTGTCAGAAGGGTCGCCAAAGACCATCAGAAAACAAAGTATTTTCTGTTGGTCATGGGGGTTCTGTGTAGGAAGTTTGGCCCAATTCTATCGTTGGTGGGGTTCAGAATGTTATTTAATTGTGGGTGAACTATAAATCCCAGCAACGACACCTCCCAAATGCGAAGGCCTATTTTCCCCATACTCTTCCAGTGTGCAAATTTGGCCACATTGGGTATTTGTGTCAAGTTTGGTCCAGATCCATCATTATTTGAGTCCCCAGTGCTCTGGATGTAGGTGAACTACAACTCCAAAACTCAAGGTCCATGTCCACCAAACCCTCCCAGTATTTTCTCTTGGTCATGGGAATTCGGTGTGCCAAGTCTGGTTCAATTCCATCATTGGTTGAGTTCAGAATGCTCTTTTATTTTAATTGAACTATAAATCCCAGCAAGTCCAACATTCCCAAATGACAAAATCAACCCCCCCCCCCAAGCCCACCAGTAATCAAATTTGGGTGTATTGGGCATTTGTGCCAAATTTGGTCCAGTGAATGAAAATACATCCTGCATATTGGATATTTACATTACGATTCATAACAGTAGCAAAGTTACAGTTATGGAAGGAGCAATGAAAATAATGTTATGGTTGGGGGTCACCACAACATGAGGAACTGTACTAAGGGGTCGCAGCATTAGGAAGGTTGAGAACCACTGTTTTAAACAGAGGCTGGATGGCCATCTGTCGGGGGTGCTTTGAATGCAATTTTTCTGCTTCTTGTCAAGGGGTTGGACTGGATGGCCTGTGAGGTTAAAATCTGGAATCTCTATGGCTCTGAATAGTTATGATAGCAACAACAAAAAGAATATAGTTGTGAGACATGCAATCTGCTCTTCCCATTCAATCAATAAGACATGGATTCCAAAACTATCTTCCCAGCTCCTGGGACTCTTCAAGACACTCAGCTTAAAGCTTCATGAAACAGCATTAGCACAAGCTTGACCTTGCCTTTGCTACAGAACAATTCTCCTGTGGGTGCCATGTTTTCTCGTTCGACACGCTTCACTTTTTAATTAGCCAATTAGCAGTCTTTGGGTGCTGAAAGCACAGGGCATGTATTATTGATACCATATTGTGCTGGACTGCTGCTGAGGTTAGTCCTCAAAATCCTCACAATGAACCCTTTTTGTTGCACAGGTCTCTTTCTCTCTGCCTTTTGGTCCTGCTTCCATGTAGTTTCTCAAACAGATTCTGCAACATTGATCAAAGTAAATCCAAAAGGGATACATAGGCAGGATAGAAAGGAATGGGGAGGGGGATATTGCTAAGGTTCGGATTTTAGAGATACAGGGGTATGAGCTGTAGCAGACAAACTTTGGCTCCCCAGGTGTTTTGGACTTCAACTCCCACAATTCCTCACAGCTGGTAGGCTATTAGAATTTTGGGAGTTGAATTCCAAAACATCTGGTTGGCCAAAGTTTGTCCATGCCTGGGCTATAGGATATTGATACTGCTGGTGTCAATGTTCTGATTTTAGACTAGTGAAGGTATCTGATAGCACAAAATGAAGATTTTTTTAAAAAAAATCTGACTATTTTATATGTTTTATTTCAGCTATAATTTATTGCTTATGATTCTTACTCTATCACTCACCTCGAGCAAGCATTGCCTTGGAAAGCAAGACAAAATGTTTTGTCTCCTATGCTATACTAATATATAATATAATATATTGTATATACATATGTTTATAATATTATAATGTAATACAGTATAATACTAATAATAATAATATATTATAATTATATATTTTATATTACATGTAATATTACTAATAATATTACAATATAATTGTATAGTACAATATAGTGATGTATGGCGCTGATATTGTATTGGGCTAATGGTATAATGTATTGTACGTGTGAGTGTGTATACAAGGGGTATTTTTTAAGTAAGGTCCGTTTTGTTGTAGACACTAGTAGTTCGCGCGCATACCGCAACGAGCGCGTGCGTCGTGTACCGGCATGCCTCGGGAACAACTGTGCTCAGTTTCCGCTCTGTAGCTAACCTGTACGGTTCTGTTCTGTGCTTTAAAAATGTTTAAGACTATCAACTCACCCTCCGCATGTGAGGTTCGCTCAGTGATACGGTTTGTCAGCAAGGAACCTGCCTGCTGCAGAAATTCATCGACAGATTTGTGAAGTGTACGGTGATACTGTTATGAGTGAAAGCAAAGTGCGTAAGTGGGTACGACAATTCAAAGATGGCCGTGACAACGTCCATGATGAGGACCGCTCCATTCGCCCTTCTTTGATTACAGACGATTTGGTTATCGGAGCAGGCGGCAAGTTTTTATGAAGAAGGTGTTTTAAAATTGGTTCAGAGGTATGATAAGTGTGAACAAACTTGGCAAACAGTGTTCTGAAAATAAATTTACTTTTTTGAAATAAACTTTCGTTGTGTTCTTATGTACTTATGTTCCAACTGACCTTACTTAAAAAATACCCCTCGTATTTTACTATGCTAATAATATATTGTGTGTGTATGTATGTGTGTGTGTGTATATATATATATATATAGAGAGAGAGAGAGTAAGCTGCTCTGAGTTCCCTTCGGGGTGAGTAGGGCGGCATATAAATGTCATAAATAAATAAATAAATAAATATAAAGCTTAACATAGAGTAAAATACATCGCGTGCAGCAAAGGCACATTATTTGTCCTAGAAACTAAAAGCAAGACAGTCCTTTCAAAGCAAGGTACAGCTGTCGTAAGCAGCCAAGACAACTTCCCTTGCTGTTGAATGTGCTGACAGCGGGGCCTTGCATGGAGGAATGCAGCCAGGAAGGGGCCTAATATTAGAAGGCTCAAAACATCCCCAGTGTTGAGGAGAGGAAAAAGGGGGGAGGCTTTGAAATGAATGGGGAGTTTAAATAATTAGGAGTGGGGAATCTCTGGGAAGAAGAAGAATTTCCTCTGAAGTAGATTTCTGAGGAAACCAGACTGCAGGTAATGAAAATTCAGATGATTTTGGAGGGTTAAATCTAGCAGCAGGGAAAAGGCCTTGAGGAGGAATGTGTGATTATCAGGGAAATCTGCTGGAGACAGCAGCTGCAGGGGTGTTTTGGGGGGAAAGAGGAAGGATTACGGTTGCCCCTGGAGAAAGGGCATGGGGTGGGAGAAAATGAAGCACTTTTAATAAGCAGCCAAGTGTCAGCACCAAGAGAGAACAGAAAAAAAGCTCCCGGGATCAAGGATGTGATCATTGCAATTAAAATTCACATCTTTACTGCCAGACATTCACATAGCATTTTTCTTAACTGACTAAACCTCATGTTACTGGATCTTGGGCAATTAAAAACAACACCATAAAGTCGGACATCACAGTCTCAAACACGTGTGATGATGATGACTGAGGAAGACAATGTGAGGGGTTAAGTCTGTGTTAAATATCACTATTTATTAATGTTTTCTGATTATTATTATTTTTTTGCTTATTTATGTCTCACTCTGCTTTGTGGTGTTGTTAGATTTTTTTAATTTTTTTTAGTATCAGTTAAGTATGTTTTGTATTATACTATAGTTAATGAAAATATATTTTTTAAGAATACCAAGTTCCCTATGAGCATGCAACAAAATTACCAGTTGAAGACTTGGATGTTTATGTGTCTACCTACAAGAAAAGTGTACATTTTTGTGTATCTTCTCATGGAAAAATCATTTCCCTAATGAATGACTTTGTGGGGAAGCAAATTCACTTTGCAAACAAACCTCAGTGTAAAAGCATTTCCCCCTCAGAAGACTGCTTTATGGTACTTAGTATAGTGACATCAGTGGGAAAATTTAACATTCCTTTCAAGGCTCTTTCTAGTTCAAACTCTTTCTAGTTCAAACTTTTTTATTTTTTTCCCATGTGTCTGGCACAGATGTAGTTTGTGTAACTTGTTGTATGTTTTAAATAGTTTTTTTTTGTATCTTGTTTTAACAATGTTGTACCCCTCATAGAATCATAGAGTTGGAGACCTCATGGGCCATCCAGTCCAACCCCCTGCCAAGAAGCAGGAATATTGCATTCAAATCACCCCTGACAGATGGCCATCCAGCCTCTGTTTAAAAGCTTCCAAAGAAGGAGCCTCCACCACACTCCGGGGCAGAGAGTTCCACTACTGAATGGCTCTCACACTAGGAAGTTCTTCCTCATGTTCAGATGGAATCTCCTCTCTTGTAGTTTGAAGCCATTGTTCCGCGTCCTAGTCTCCAGGAAGCAGAAAACAAGCTTGCTCCCTCCTCCCTGTGGCTTCCTCTCACATATTTATACATGGCTATCATATCTCCTCTCAGCCTTCTCTTCTTGAGGCTAAACATGCCCAGCTCCTTAAGCCGCTCCTCATAGGGCTTGTTCTCCAGACCCTTGATCATTTTAGTCGCCCTCCTCTGGACACATTCCAGCTTGTCAATATCTCTCTTGAATTGTGGTGCCCAGAATTGGACACAATATTCCAGATGTGGTCTAACCAAAGCAGAATAGAGCATGGGGAGCATGACTTCCTTAGATCTAGACACTATGCTCCTATTGATGCAGGCCAAAATCCCATTGGCTTTTTTTTGCCGCCACATCACATTGTTGGCTCATGTTTAACTTGTTGTCCACGAGGACTCCAAGATCTTTTTCACACGTACTGCTCTCGAGCCAGGCATCGTCCCCATTCTGTATCTTTGCATTTCATTTTTTTTCTGCCTAAGTGGAGTATCTTGCATTTGTCACTGTTGAACTTCATTTTGTTAGTTTTGGCCCATCTCTCTAATCTGTCAAGATCGTTTTGAATCCTGCTCCTGTCCTCTGGAGTATTGGCTATCCCTCCCAATTTGGTGTCGTCTGCAAACTTGATGATCCTGCCTTCTAGCCCTTCATCTAAGTCATTAATAAAGATGTTGAACAGGACCGGGCCCAGGATGGAACCCTGTGGCACTCCACTTGTCACTTCTTTCCAAGATGAAGAGGAAGCATTAGTGAGCACTCTCTGTGTTCGTCCCTCCTTGAACTGAAGATAGGTGGGTTTATTTACTACTAGCCATCCCCTGCCACACGTTGCTGTGGCCCACATGGGGGTTCTGTGTGGGAAGTTTGACCCAATTCTGTCATTGGTGGGGTTCAGAATGCTCTGTGATTGTAGGTGAACTATAAATCCCAGCAACTACAACTCCCAAATGTCAAGATTCTATTTCCCCCAAACTCCACCAGTGTTCATATTTGGGGATATTGAGTATTCATGTAGAGTTTGGTCCAGATCCATCATTGTTTGAGTCCTCAGTGATCTCTGGATGTAGGTGAACTACAACTCCAAAACCAAAGGGCACTGCCCACCAAACCCTTCCAGTATTTTCTGTTGGTCATGGGAAAACTGTGTGCCAAGTTTGGTTCAATTCCATCGTTGGTGGGGTTCAGAATGCTCTTTGATTGTAGGTGAACTATAAACCCCAGCAACTACAACTCCCAAATGACAAAATCCATTTTTTTGAGTGAAGGACATACATTGGGTTGTTAGGTGTCTTGTGTCCAAATTTGGTGTCAATTTGTCCAGTGGTTTTTGAGTTCTGTTAATCCCACAAACGAACAAGACATTTTTATTTATATAGATACTTCTATCTCGCTCTACCTTACCCCAAGAGGGACTCAGAGTGGTTTACAGTTTGACAAAATTCAGTACCATAATGTACATACATAAAGCAATACATACATGATTAACTAAAAATAAATACACATATAAATATGAATTTAAACCATTAAAGCACCCCAAAAGATGGTAATCCAGCCTCTGTTTAAAACCCTCCAAAGAAGGAGCGTCCACCACACTCTGGGGCAGAGAGTTCCACTGCTGAACAGCTCTCACAATTAGAAAGTTCTTCGTAATGTCCAGGTGGAATCTCCTTTCCTCTAGTTCGAAGTCATTGTTCCACATCCTAGTCTCCAGCTTGTCAACATCATTATAAAACATATGATGAGGTTGCTGTTGTTATTATTATTTCATTTCAAAACTGGAGAACTGTGTGTTCACACACAACTGGTTTTCTGAGGTAAAGCCGAATTATTTTAAAACTATGGAATCAGCCTTAGGCTTGTATCCACTTTTGGAGGGAGAATAACTAACTCTCCTCTTTCTCCAACCTCCACCCTTCATGCAACTACAAATGAACTCTGGTAAGCACTTGCCTTAACATGGGAAATGGGCAATTAGTTGACCACTTATAGTGATGTATTTTATGCAACACTCTTCTGGGTAAAAAGTCTGACCACTTGAGCAATATAGTGGTGTCAGTTAACAATGCAACCTAGATTTAAAATGCTCAGGAAGCAGAACTATGAACAGAGGGAGCCAGGGACTTGGAACACCTTTACCTTAATTTCTGTAGCTGGGGTTGGCAGCTCACTGGCACGAGGAAAAAGCAACAGAGCCAACGTGATTATCACAGCAGCAAAGAAAACCAAAATGACAGAAAACCTGGATGGGTGTGACAGAGAAGAACACAGTAATCACTAATGATTGAAGTCACACTTTCTTCAAATAACTTTTGATGAGCCAGGCTGGCACAACGGGTGAAACCGCCAAGCTATAAGAAGATCCTGCCGACCGGAAGGTTGGCAGTTCAAGCCCGGATCAAGGTGAGCTACTGCCGCCAGCCCAGCATCTGCTCACCTAGCAGTTCGAAAACAACACTGTAAGTAGATAAATAGGTAACGCTTTGGACGGGAGGTAAAAGGCACCCTGAAAAACAAGTCACAAGTACGTTTGGCGGGGACGAGAGACAGGGCCTTCTGAGTGGTGCCCCCTTGGCTGTGAAACACCCTTCCTACAGATATTAGGTCGACCCCCTCCCTGTTGACATTTCGGAGGAAAGTGAAGACCTGGTTGTTCGAGCAGGCATTTGAATAGGCAGTGTGACGAACATAGGAATATGGAACAATTGGATGATGAGACTGGATCTTGATTTTGACTATGATACGCTAATGAGATGTTTTATTGATTTATTTTGACTGTTTATTATGCTACTGTTTTAATTGTTTTTAAATGTTTTTGATGTTTTTGAGCATTGAATTTTGCTATTGTTAACCACTCTGAGTCGCCCAAGGGCTGAGAAGAGAGGTATACAAATATAGTAAATAAATAAATAAACACACCAGCAAAAATCCGAACAGAAAAGGCTTCCATGGATGACAGGCACCTTAGCGTGGAAAATAAAACAACAGCACCTCCCCATGTCTGAGTTGAGCACAGTCAGATGTCGGAGATGAAAAGACAGAAGTCTTGCCTTTGTTTCTGTACTGTCTGTCTTTGTCAATTGTATAACGGCATGGAATGTTTGCCATATATGTACCTGTAATCCGTTCTGAGTCCTCTCGGGGAGGTAGAGCAGAATATAAATAAAGTATATTATTATTATAACATGAATAAAATCACCAGGTTTCATGATCCAGAAAGTGAACATAGGCAGGTGTACCAAGGTAAAATGAATTCTCTCAAGATGGTGTCAGGCCTGATTATGCAATGGAGCCATTTTTAATACTTTGGCAAAACATGAACGCTTGGAGCTGAGTGAAGAATGTGTCCTTACTGGTTCCTCAGGAACATTCTGTGGCTTTGATATACCCTCTCTTGGCCACCTTTCTAGGATTGGACTTGGAGGCACTGTTTTACTATTTATCCAGTCCCTCTTGGGAGGAAGAAACTAAGGCTTTATTTTTTTAAACTTTTTTTAACCTGAAATGAAACTTTATTTATAGCCCACCCTATCTCCCCAAAGGGACTCAGGGCGGCTCACAACAAAATACACAATAGCAAACATTCAATGCCGATAGTAGTACATAAACAAATCAATAAACAAATCAAGAACAACTCAGTAAATTATAAACCAACTTAAATGAACACGACCATGAGGCTTGCAAACACATAGCAGCCATTGGGAAAAGAGGAGGAAAAGACCTGAGAGAACACATCTCTAGGAATCTCTCGGTTCTCCAGCATAACTTTATGGTCAGCCTCTGCTAGTGGAAGTCAACCATATAGTTGTGCTAGAGGACAATGAGTTTTCTAGAAAGAATATGTTAATCAAATCCAGAAAACTGAAAAGCACATGGGGAGGGCTGACTGTACTTGCTTTTTTGTAAAATGTTTCTGTGTAATTGGAGCATCATCTATACAGATAAAAACTTCCCTAATAAAAACTGCTAGAATTAATCTGATTCATTGATTAAGCAATGCGGCTTTCATTTAGCAAGATGCATTAATGACATCCTAATTTCTAAAAATAGACGCTCTACAATAAAATGCCTGCTGTAAAATATATTCAAAAAAGATAAGAATTATTCCAATCTGGTTTTGCTTGCTACTAAAACTCAGCTCAAGAGTCTCTTGTAAGAAATGCCACTGAGGAAATGAAATTAATTTAGTGGATTACTTATAGAACCCAGCCACACTTAAATCTATAAGGGATAGAATCATAGTTGGGTGGAGAAGGCCTTGTAGGCCATCTAATTCCAATTCATGAGCAGTGCAAACATTCAGAACTAGATCAGCCCCAATAGATGACTATCCAGCCTCTACATGATGATCTGCAATGGGAGAGAGCCCAGCCTCCCTCTAGGCAATGGTTCCTTTCTTGGGTTGCTCTTAGCAGCAAGAGTTTCCTCTTAATGCATGCCTGAGATTCACATGGTTAGCAGTTTCCCCTCCAATTACTTTCCCAGCAGGAGAAATCACCTTACCTAGCGAGTCCAGAAGCTCTGGATAACATCACACACAGCAGCAAGGTCAGTACCCAGAGCAGTGCTAAAATGAATACTCCTGGCCCAACGCCAAGCACTGTGCCAGGCATCCTGGAAGGCAAGAGAAATCATTAAACCCCCTCAAAACTCTCCCAAAGCTGAAGTTTTGATGTCAGTGGAGTTCCGATAGCTCATTGTTGAAAATCATTTTCACTAGGACCTCCTTTTCAGGGAAAGGAGTAGTATTTTTAAAGGATTAATATACAGCAGCCCCAGGAAGAACTGGTAATGGAAGGTGGCGTGTTTTCATAGCTACTGCACTTAAATGTAAACCACAACACAAAAAAAAACTGAGCTAAAATAGTTTGTGGTCACTTCACTGATTCTATCAGGGACATCTACACAAATACATTGCGAGAAGGAAGAGGAGAAGGATGCAGGAAGAGAAGGACGCAGAAAAAGATGGAGTAGGACACAAACGGAGAAGGGTGAAGAAGGATGTAGAAGAAGGATGCAGAAAGCGAAGGATGCAAAAAGAGAATGATGTAGAAGGAAAGGATGCAGAAAGAGGAGGAGAAGAAGCAGAAGGATGCAGAAAGACAAGATGCAGAAATATGGATGTAGAAAGAGAAGGAAGCTTAAGAAAGTTGAAGAAAGAGATGGAGAAGGGTGCAGAAAGAGATTGAGAATGATGCAGAAGAAGGACGCAGGAGAAGGATGCAGAAGGATTCAGAAAGAGATAGCGAAGGATGCAGAAGGAGAAGGATGCAGAAGAAAGATGCAGGAAGAGATGGAGAAGGATGCAGAAAGAGAAGAGTGCAGAAAGAGATAGAGAAGAGTGCAGAAAGAGAAGTATGCAGAAAGAGATGGAGAAGGACGCAAGACGGGACTGAGAGGATACAGATAGAGAAGGATTCATAAAGAATAGAGAAGGATGCAGAAGCAAAAGAATGCAGAAGGGATCAGAAGGAGATAGAGAAGGATGCAGAAGGATTCAAAAAGAGATAGAGAAGGATGTAGCAAGAAGGATGTAGAAAGATGAGGAGATGCAGAAAGGGAAGAATACAGGAGAAGGATGCAGTAGAAGGATGCAGAAAGAGAAGCAAAAGAAAAAGATGCAGAAAGGGGAGGCTATAGAAGGAGGAGAAGCCGAAGAAGAGGAATGCATAAGTTCTTCTTCAGCATTTCCTTCTTCCCTCCAAAGTGCCCAAGGTTCCCAGGCCTTGTCATTCTGCAAAGCCCTGAAGCCTCCTCACACATTCATGATGTGCTTTGGAATGAGCAAGATGAGAAATGATCACATCAGAACTTAGGAAACCCCCTCCGAGGAGTCTTCATCATGATGTTATGAATTCCCTCTTTATAAAACAAGAAAGGTGTCATCTTCCAGACAGAAGGCTTGCCACTTTCCCCCACCTCTGTGAAGGTCTGCTTACCTTTTCTAACACTTTTTTTGTTTATCCCTTGGCAGCCACCTCTCCAGTCAACATTGACGCTGAAATACAACACCGCCTGAGCTCTGCAAGTGCAGCTTTTTTCTGAATGAAGCAAAGAGTGTTCGTAGGCAGACCAAGGTGCTTGTTTATAAAGCTACTAGCCGTCCCCTGCCACACATTGCTGTGGCCCAGTCTGTGTATATGTTTTGTGTGTGTATATATGAGTGTGTGTATGTTTGTGTATATGTGTGTTTGTGTATATATGTGGTTTGCGCATGCGTTGTAATGTAATTTTGGTGGGGGTTTTTTTTTTTGCTTTTTAAGTCCCTTCCGTTGTGTTTTTCAGTGTTTTTATGAGTGATGGTCACTCGTTGGCCTGATAGGTGTATTGTGTCCAAATTTGGTGTCAATTCATCCAGTTATGTTAATCCCACAAACAAACATTACATTTTTATTTATATAGTCTGTCCTCCCAACCCTGCTATATGCCTGCGAGACGTGGACTGTCTACAGACACGGTTGGCGGGGACGAGGGACAGGGCCTTCTCGGTGGTGGCCCCTCGGCTGTGGAACGCCCTACCCACAGACATCAGATCAGCTCCCTCATTAATGGCATTTCGGAAGAAAGTGAAAACCTGGTTATTTGAACAGGCGTTTGAATAGGCAGTGCAATGAATTACAATGAATTATAGGAAATCGGAACAACGGATGACGAGCTTGGATTATGATTTTAGTTATGAGACGCCAGTGAGTTGTTTATTGATGTTTACTGATGGTTATTGATGTTAATTGCTTACTGCATTATTGTGGTAATTGTTTTTTAAATGGCTGTATGATGTTTGCATTGAATTTTTGCCGCTGCTTGTTTATTTATTTATTTACTTTGCTTATATACCGCTGTATCTCAAGCCCGAAGGCGACTCACAGCGGTTCACAAACAGTAAAAACAGTAGAAACAGCAGTGGTTCCATACAACATATAACAATTGACTTAACACATTATCCATAAATTACCAATAGGCAATTACAATGCACAATTATTACAAAAAACAACCGTACCCAATCTTCTCATCATCCAAGCGTAGTCCAGGTTCGTCGTCCATTGTTCCATTCCTATGTTCCATTACCAGATTGCACTAAATTACTCAAACGCCTGCACAAACATCCAGGTCTTCACCTTTTTGCGGAATACCATTAGAGATGGTGCTAGTCTAATGTCCGTAGGAAGGGCGTTCCACAGCCGAGGAGCCACCACCGAGAAGGCCCTATCTCTCGTCCCCGCCAGCCGAGCTTGAGAAGCAGGCGGGATCGAGAGCAGGGTCTCCCCGGAAGATCTCAAACTCCTGGTGGGTTCATAGGCAGAGATGCGGTCAGATAGGTAGCTTGGGCCGGAACCGTTTAGGGCTTTAAAGGCCAACGCCAGCACTTTGAATTCAGCCCGGTAGCAGATCGGTAGCCAGTGGAGTTGGCGCAACAGGGGGGGTTGTATGCTCCCTGCGCTCCGCTCCTGTTAAAATCATGGCTGCCGAGCGTTGGACTAGTTGGAGCTTCCGAGCTGTCTTCAAAGGCAACCCCACGTAGAGAGCGTTGCAGTAGTCTAAACGGGATGTAACCAGAGCGTGGACTACCGTGGCCAAGTCAGACTTCCCAAGGTACGGGTGCAGCTGGCGCACAAGCTTTAGCTGTGCAAATGCTCCCCTGGTCACCGCCGAAACCTGGGGTTCCAGGCTCAGCGATGAGTCCAGGGTCACACCCAAGCTGCGCACCTGCATCTTCAGGGGGAGTGTAACCCCATCCAACACAGGCTGTAACCTATGCCCTGTTCGGCCTTGCGACTGACCAGGAGTACCTCTGTCTTGTCTGGATTCAATTTCAATTTGTTCGCCCTCATCCAGACCGTCACAGCGGCCAGGCACCGGTTCAGGACCTGGACAGCCTCCTTAGTAGCAGGTGGAAAGGAGTGACAGAGTTGGACATCATCCGCGTACAGATGACACCGTCCCCCGAAACTCCGGATGATCTCCCCCAGCGGCTTCATGTAGATGTTAAACAACATGGGAGACAATATTGAGCCCTGAGGAACCCCACAAGACAACGGTTGTGGGGTTGAACAGGTGTCCCCCAACAACACCTTCTGAGATCGACCCTCCAGGAATGCCCGGAGCCACTGCAAAACAGTACCTCCAAGACCCATCCCCGCGAGGCGTCCCAGAAGGATACCGTGGTCGACGGTATCGAAGGCCGCTGAGAGGTCCAGCAGCACCAACAGGGACACACTCCCCCTGTCGAGCTCCCGGCGCAAATCATCCACTAAGGCGACCAAGGCTGTCTCGGTACCATGTCCCGGCCTAAAGCCAGACTGTGCCGGGTCTAGATAATCCGTGTCTACCAAGAATACCTGGAGTTGTGAGGCCACCACACGTTCCAAGACTTTGCCCAAGAAGGGGCGATTGAAAACTGGCCGATAGTTGTCGAATTTAGTGGGGTCCAGTGATGGCTTGTTGTTAACCGCTCTGAGTCGCCTAATGGCTGAGAAGACAAATAAAGTAAATAAATAATACAGACATCACATGCAACTCCTGGAATGATTCCATCAGGGTTGCCTCTGAAAAATCCTGCAAATCTCTTGGGAAGACAGGTGGACAAATGTCAGCGTGCTGGAAGAAGCAAAGACCACCAGCATTGAAGCGATGGTCCTCTCCCATCAACTCCGCTGGACCGGCCACATTGTCTGGATGCCCGACCACCGTCTCACAAAGCAGTTGCTCTACTCCGAACTCAAGAACGGAAAGCGGAATGTTGATGGGCAGGAAAAGAAATTTAAAGATGGGTTCAAAGCCAACCTTAAAAGCTCCGGCATAGACACTGCGAAATGGGAAGCCCTGGCCCTTGAGCGTTCCAGCTGGAGGTCAGCTGTGACCAGCAGTGCTGTAGCATTTGAAGAGGCACGAATGGAGGGCGAAGGAGAGAAACGTGCCAAGAGGAAGGCGGTCCCGGTCGGGGTTGGCTTGACATGCCTTCCTCTTGGCACGTTTCTCTCCTTCGCCCTCCATTCGTGCCTCTTCAAATTCTACAGCACTGCTGGTCACAGCTGACCTCTAGCTGGAGTATTCAAGGGCCAGGGCCAACCCCGACCGGGACCGCCTTCCACCTGGAAACCAATGCCTTCACTGCGGACCCACCGCCAGTATACTGATCTTGGAAGACTATCCTACTCGGAGACTTTTTCTAAGCAGCCTAAGAGCCTAGGTCTGGCTCTACACTGGATAATGAATGTGGTTTGACACCTAAGTGCCATGGCTCAATGCGATGGAACCCTAGGATGTGTATTTTGGTGAGGCTCCAGAAGGCCAAGGACCTTGTCAAACTACAACTCCTCTGCACAACCACTGTAGAGACAGGAGCCCTACTTCCCATGTGGTAGTGTCTGCGCATGCGCAGAGGCCTCGCAAGCTACCTCATAGGGTTCTGTGTAAATCTGAACCGCTTTACAAGGCGAAAGAGAGAAATGTGTGTAAATCTGTTCAAGCTTCCAATATAACGCGGAGGCGAATGGCAAAGCAAGGGAAGTACCTGTGGGAGAAAGAAGACGGGAAAGAGAGCAGCGACCCCGCCGGAGACGCCTCCCTACTCCTCTCGCCAAAAACTGCAAAGCAATCTCTCTTTTATCCAATCGCAGCGAGGCTTATATTTATAGTACTCCGACACAGCCAATAAGCGTCTTCCTTTCATTTCGTTCCCTACGTCGGATTGACGGTTGCCATGGTTAACAAGAGAGCCTCTCAGGAATGGGGCCCGCTGATTGGTTCACTTCGGAAGCGGCCCTTCACCAATCCCCTGCGCCCGGCCGCGCGCCATGGCAAATGGGCGGGGCTTCGCACTCTGTCCATCACAGGTTTCACTTGATGACGTCAGTTCTTCTTTCTCTCCTTGTAAACACAGGAAATGAAGCTTCGCCTGTCCTCTGAGTTGGTGCCAGGTCCCACAAGAAGTCATCAATATGTTCATGTGCCACATGCACAATGGAGGACCTTCTTGCAGCAACACCAGAGGCACTCCAAGTGGCCAGCTACTGGTCAAAGGACATTGAATCAACTACTAAGCTTGCAAACTTGGTGTTTTGTTTGTTTGTTTGTTAAAAAAATGCAATGCAACTGTTTGGTCTGGTCCTGACACGATAAATAAATATATCAATATGTTTAAATATGCAGATCTGGCTTGGTGAAGGATTGGCTGTTGCTAGGTGAAGTGGCCTTCTGTGACGTCACTGGGGGAAGGAATTATTTATTTTTTTGTCGTATCAGGAGCAACCGCTCCTGTTGACATCACAGAAGGCCAAGAGTCTCTTTTCCCAGTCCTGCTTAAAGCACTGTCCAAGGTTGCATCTACACCAGGGTTGCATCTACACCAGGCATGGGCAAACTTGGGCTCTCCAGGTGTTTTGGACTCCAACTCCCACCATTCCTAACAGCCTCAGACCCCGTCCTTTTCCCTCTTAGCTGCCTTCCAGGTGTTTTGGACTCCAACTCCCACCATTCCTAACACATAATCATCATCATCACTTTATTTCTTAATTAGTCGCTCTCCACCAAGGTGCTCCGAGCGACTTACAATTTAAAACAGTTTATACACAATATAAAACATTCAATATAAAACATTCAACATAAAAACATTCAGCAGTGACTATGGCAAAATTTGATCCGATTACTTAAATGCACAACCAAACAGCCAAGTCTTGAGCGCCTTTACAAAAGGTCGCAACTCCGACATTGCTCTAATATATGGAGGCAATGAGTTCCACAGAATTGGAGCATAGATCGAAAAAGCTCTACGCCTTGTAGTTCCAAATGTGCCTCCCTAGGGCCCGGTATGTATAGGAGATTTTCCTGGGTGGATCGAGGTGACCACTGATGGAGAAAAGGAATGAGGCGGTCCCTAAGATATAAAGGTCCTTGGCCATTTTGAGCTCTAAATGTCAGGATCAGTATCTTGTAAGAGATCCGATGTTCTATTGGTAGCCAATGCAGTTGTTGCAGAATCGGTGTAATATGGGATCTTATAGATGATCCCGCTAGCAGCCTGGCTGCCGCATTTTGGACCATCCGAATCTTCTGGGTTGTTGACTTTGGAAGGCCGGCATATAAGGTTGCAATAGTCCAACCTAGTGGTGACTGTTGCGTGGATTACTGTTGCCAATGCTTCTACCGAAAGGTAGGATGCCAATTTCCTTGCCTGGCGAAGATGAAAAAAGGCCTGCTTACTTATGGCAGTGATCTGGACCTCCATCGTCAGTGATGAATCCAACACAACTGCCTCAAGCCCCTTTCTTTTCCCCCTCAGCCGCTTAAGGAAAGGGCCTGAGGCTGTTAGGAATGGTGGGAGTTGGAGTCCAAAACACCCGAAGGGCGCAAGTTTGCCCATGCCTGGTGTAGACTGGTGTAGATTTTGGGCTCGGCCTCTTGTAAGCCGCACCGAGTCCTTCAGGAGGTGGTAGGGGGGTACAAATAAAGGTTTATTATTATTATTATTATTAGACTTATTCAATGCAGTTGTAACTGTATTGAGCAGCATTGTATAGTCTACACTGATCAGATAATGCACCTTGATTTGCATTAAATGGTCATTGTAGATGGGACTGCATTTCAGTCTATATATATAAATTTGTTAGGGGCATCCAACGGAGAAACAAAACTCAAAAAAACCCCCAACGAAACTTAACCAAAATTCCCATGCCCATAACACAACCCACAAGGTACAAACATATCTACTCAAAATGAAAAACAACACAACAACACACTCACAAAACGGCAAAACAACAAAACTCAAAAAAACCCAACGAAACTTAACCAAAATTCCCATGCCCATAACACAACCCACAAGGTACAAACATATCTACTCAAAATGAAAAACAACACAACAACACACTCACAAAACGGCAAAACAACAAAACTCAAAAATCCCCCAACGAAACTTAACCAAAATTCCCATGCCCATAACACAACCCACAAGGTACAAACATCTACTCAAAATGAAAAACAACACAACACACTCACAAAACGGCAAAACAACAAAACTCAAAAAACCCCAACGAAACTTAACCAAAATTCCCATGCCCATAACACAACCCACAAGGTACAAACATATCTACTCAAAATGAAAAACAACACAACAACACACTCACAAAACGGCAAAACAACAAAACTCAAAAAACCCCAATGAAACTTAACCAAAATTCCCATGCCCATAACACAACCCACAAGGTACAAACATATCTACTCAAAATGAAAAACAACACAACAACACACTCACAAAACGGCAAAACAACAAAACTAAAAAAACCCCAACGAAACTTAACCAAAATTCCCATGCCCATAACACAACCCACAAGGTACAAACATATTACTCAAAATGAAAAACAACACAACAACACACCCAAAACGGCAAAAAAACAAAACTCAAAAAAACCCCAACGAAACTTAACCAAAATTCCCATGCCCATAACACAACCCACAAGGTACAAACATATCTACTCAAAATGAAAAACAACACAACAACACACTCACAAAACGGCAAAACAACTGAGCATGCATTGGCGCCCAGCCGCAAGTTCCCTGGCGCGCGCACATGGCCTTCCGGCCAACGTTCCCTCTGCGGAAACCATGCCCACTCCAAGCCCCGCCGCGCCGCTTCCCGCACACACACACCCCCTGCCGCACACACACACACAACCCCACACTCCATCACTCCCCCCGCCGCCGCACACACACACGCAACCCCACGCTCCATCACTCCCCCCGCCCGCCGCACACACACACGCAACCCCACTCCCCCCGCCGCCGCACGCACACACGCAACCCCACTCCCCCCGCCGCCGCACACACACACACACAACCCCACCCCCCCCCCCGCCGCCGCACACACACGCAACCCCCACCCCCCCCGCCGCACACACACACGCAACCCCACGCTCCATCACTTCCCCCGCCGCCGCACACACACACGCAACCCCACGCTCCATCACTCCCCCCCCCCAATCTTACCTCCTTTTACTTCACGCCACCTCCAACCCCCACCCCGCCCCTTCCCGCCCTGTCAAAATCTAGGAAAGACAGGAAGGAAGGAAAGAAGAGGAAAAGAGGAGGTAAAGAAAAAGGGGGAAGGAAGGAAAGTAGAGAAAGAAGGAAGAAGAAAAGGAAAAAAAAGGAAAGATGGAAGGAAAGAAAAGAGAGACAGCAGAAGAGAAAGAAAAAGGGGGAAGGAAGGAAAGATAGAGAAGGAAGGAGGGAAAGAGGTAGAAAAGGAAGAAAGGAGGGAAGGAAGGAAGGAAGGAGGGAAAGAAGAAGAGAAAGAGGGAAGATTGGCCACAGCAACACGTGGCGGGTAAAGGTTGTTATTTCTATTATTATTATTATTATTATTATTATTATTATTATTATTATTATTATGCTATTGTTCCTATGAGACCCTTTTAGGGGGAATGGGAGAGGTGTCAGGTCCCAGAGGCAATGCATTGCATTATTGTTATTGTTATGATGGTGGTGAAATAAAAGGAAATAAAAAGTGAAAGAAGGAAGCAAACAGGGAGGGAAGAAAGGCAAAGGAAGAAAGGGGAGGGAATGAAGGAAAGAGAGAAGGATGAAACCAAGTAGTGAAAGAAAGAAAGAGGTAGAGAAGGAAGAAAGGAGAGAAAGGGGGAGGAAAAGGGGGAAGGAATAGGTAGGGACCTCTCTTTCATAATAGTCCAGATATCTACCTCAACTTTGATAAGTTTTACTATAGGCCACAGCAACGCGTGGAAGGGCACAGCTAGTTATAAATATAGAAGTATAATGAATATAGACTTGCTCTGTGTAATAAGAAATTCAATGTGCAGATTTGATAGATGTGAATTTAATATGATGTGTGGGAATGAATGGAAGAATGGAAGATGAATGTATGGATGGAGCTAATAATTTTGGAGACACCATTATAATATTAAGGCCTGCAATGACTAACTACCTGCTTGCTGGACTATAATAAAAAAAGTTGCTAATGAGAAATGAAAAGTAAACTCTGATAAGAACTGGGACAGTGATAACAGAAATATTTGGAGCATTCCTTATGTTAAGAAGGAAGTCAACACAAGCCTTGTGTTTGTCAACACCGATCAAGAAGATCAACATCTGGCCAGGAAACTGAAATAGAGCCAGGATGGAATAAGTCTGTCATTAATGTATAACTTTGGGACTACATCAACAGAATATTCCTATAAAAGACTGAAAAACCACTGGACAAATTGACAGGAAATTTGGACACTATACCTCTAACAGACCAACAAGTGATCATCACTCATAACCACCCTCCCAAAAACAGTGGAAAGGACTTAAAAACCCACAAAGTTAAATGATGAAAAGCTAAATGACGATACAGAAAAAAGGGAAGGAAGAGGGAGTGAGGGAAGGAAGGGGAGAAAGAACGAAAGAAAGAAAGAAAGAAAGAAAGAAAGAAAGAAAGAAAGAAAGAAAGAAAGAAAGAAAGAAAGAAAGAAGAGAAAAGGGGAAGGAAAGAGAGAAGGAAGAAAGGAAAGAGGTAAAAAAGGAAGAAAGGAGAGAAAGTGGAAGGAAAAGAAAAGGGGGGAAGGAAATAAAGAGGTAGAGAAGGAAGGAAGGAGAAAAGGAAAGA